ACAAGGAGCAAATATGCAAAGTAAATGGGCCGTGGTGCCAGCTTGGGTAGGGTTTTGAGTAGTTCCTTTGGTAGATGGGATAAGAAATCCATCATGGGGCCAACGGGTGCAATGGTGGTTAAGGCGCTGGATTCCCATAAGGCCAACCACAGTTTGAGTGCTGGACCTGGAGGCTTCATTTCTCTTTCCTTCTCTCTCTCTGGTGAGTGCATATGTCCTAAAGCCAATTTAAAATAAAATAATAATAATAAATAAAGCTAAAAAAATAAATTGAATTTTATTGTATTGAGAAATTTTATTGGATTGAGAAAAATGCATAAAAATGTTAAAAAATATTCCTATGTATATTACCTATTTTCTATTAGGAAAAATGTTTTTCAAAGGCATATATTTCATATGCAGTGTTGTAAATGTTTCATTTTTTTCATTACAATGTCCCCAGATCTCTTGAATAACTTTGGAACTTAACTATTAAGAGATACTATTTAGGGACTCTAAAAGCATTGTTTCCCTTTTTAAGCTAGAGAAAGCTAAGTAAAATGCTAATCCAGGGTTTTTAAGTTGAGAGTCCTAGAGCTGGAGGAAAGCCTATCTCCTCTATCTCATTTCACTGCAGGGACAGATGTGGCACACCCCAGTAATCATTCAAAATCTTGGGAATATTTTGTCCTCGTCACATCACAATTTCTGGATGTGGCTCAGGGTTAAAGGGCCTGTGCAGAGGGAGGTGCAGGTTCCCTCGGAAGACTACAGCACCGTCACCCTCACCTTGCGCATTTCCTCCATGGGAAAGCGAGGGTCTGTGTGATGGAATTACTGTGTATGATAAGAAACACATCCGATTTTGAGATCTCTTACAGGCAGGCATTGGGAAACTGCAAATATAAAAGGCTTAAAATAAAGAGATTCCATCTCGTTTTTATCAAAAGTCATTTCAATATTCTCAAACTGGAAGATAAAATAAATACACAAGTATTAGATGCTATTACTCAAATAGACCTGGTAACTTTTTCAGTGAGGTGGTCTATGGCTTTTAGAGAAATGACAAAACAAAGTACTCATGACTCTTATTATTATTTAAAATCTGCTATAGGGTACATGAGCTTGCCAGAGAGAGAGAGAGACAGAAAAAGAGAGGAGGAAAGTGAGAAAGCATCTTCCAGGTGGCATGGTCATGCTGCAATCCCTTCTCGTTCATCTTCCTCTCAGGATTTTGGGGACATGCGCAAACACACCCAGTGTATTTTTCAAGATGCCAGGTCTGGGACTTGAAAAGTATAGTCAGCCATGTAGGCTCCAGATGCCTTAACCACCATACCATTGGCTGGCCGAATGACTCTTATTTTGAAACTTATTTGTGAGGCTACTATTAACAATATACAGGGGAAGCTCTGGTTTTCTGAACTAGAGCTAAACAAAGACAGTGAGGTTTCTAGGACCTCTGCTCCTCAACATTCTGCTGGAGTCAGAGGGTGAATCTTCTGATATGTGGCATTCAGATTTTATTGCTCATATTTATGAAGTCACTGCAGAATCCTGCCAGAAGGTATTTTCACTCATACTTCTACTTACATAAAATATGGTGGACTTTTTATTTAAACCCCCCAAATAAGGGATTTAGTCAAAGAGTGTAATAGTTTCATCACTACAGCGACTTCAAGATTTATTTCAAAATGCATATTGTTAGAATTTGCTGGCAGGGCTGAGAACAATGTTGGCAAGGAGTTCTTTTTTTTTTTTTTTTTTTAAAGAGAGATTTTCGATATAGGACACATGCACTCACCAGAGAGACAAGAAAGTAAGAAATCACCCCCCAGGAGGAATTGGCCATGCTGCAATCCCTTCTCCTCCATTCTCCTCCTGGGACTTTGGGCACACATGCACACATGCCTGATGTTAAGTTTCATGTCTCTGAGTCTAGGACTTGAACTGCAGTTGGCCAAGTGGGAGTCCAGTGACATAACCCTAATGCCACTGCTGGACCCAGGAGTTCCTTATTAAGATACTAAGTCCTTAGCCACATGTGGTGCTGCCCAAGTACAAAATATGCCTGGGCCCACACTCCCCAAGGTCACAAGGCAGCATGAATAAAAACATGCCATGGGATGGAAAATGTCCCATTGTTCCATGATGTGGAACATACTTAGAGCATAGTCAGTGAAGAAGATAAGAGAGTGATGGTGGACCTATGTCCTCATAATGCCCAGGCACAGAGGTGTCATCTGAACCTTTCTGATCAGGGGAAAGCATTAATCATTTTAATTTTTTATACTGGCTCCAACCCAGGCCAAAGACCTTTCTGAGAGCTTCAGTCCCATTAAAAAAAGTAGAGACAGAGCAGCAAGTAGCTAGTCCCTTCCCTATCACAAACCCGGGGTTTGCTACAGAACAGGCCCTGTGCCAGGGAGGTTCCATTATATCCATTAGCAGGTGGCCCTCATGGAGTCCTCTGAGGTGGAGTCAGTATCCTCTAACTGGGCTTCCCTGATACTCAAGAAAAAGATGGCTTAACATTCACTAAGCTGTAGATAGGATTCCTTACTCTGAAAATGAGACAAAGTTGTTTAATGTATAAATAAAAATAAACTTTCAAAATCTGTCTGGGCTACTCTTTGTTCATGTTTTCATCTCTTACAGGATCACTGGTGAGTGGAGCTGTGGAGCAGGGCACCAGAATAGTCTTTTTAAAAGAAGGGCGGATGCAAACAAAGAGAGGGATGTGATTTGGCAGATGTTTCGTGACAGGTTGGGGCTGGCAGGGGGGTCAGTGTCCAGAGCTGACGACCACACAATGGGAGCTCAAAGCGGGGATGTGTGCACAGCTGGACCCTCCTTCTCAATTGGCTTCTTCTTTCAGAGTCTGCATAATATCTGTACACGAGCTAAAAGGCTCGTGTTTTTAAAGAGTGGAATAAAAAGCACACTAACTACCTTATACATACTATTCAATGAATATTTGTAGATTTGATTTGGAAAGATGAAGAGTAAATCCTCTTTCAAGTTGCATATTGCTATGATTTAAACAATTTTGTGTGTACTAACACCAGACTTTCTATAAAGCACCTTGTATCTGGTACGAACTAAAACTACCTGCTTTAAAGGCAGACTGGCTTTCAAGCTGGGGTCCCAATGTATTTTAAGTGTCTGTTGGAGAGAAAACAATGTTAACTTGCCCCTCTCGTGACTATCTTGTTGGAAGCTACAGCACGTAATGAGAAATGTCAAGTCCCAAGATCAATGAAATTTGGGACTCCAGGGATTCAACAGGAATAGCATTGATTCTTTTAAAGAACACCAGTCAGGGATGGGTTGTAATATATTGCAAAGAGGGGCTCAAGAGGATAGGCGGCCAAGTCCAAGATACCTACCTGACAAAAAATTCAATCAGCATTTAGCACAAATTGTCTGCTCTGCTCTGCTTTCTTTCATGCAGTAGGCTGCCTCCAATTAAAGTGCGCAAATTAATTTTTATCACTTCCAAATTAGTTTCAGAATTTGTGTAAAAGTCTGTTTCAGATGAAAGCATCTGTCCCTCTCATCTTTGCAATTCTGTTATCTAGTTAGGGACCTATTTAAAATCTACAAGATCATTTTCTACGTTCATAGTCACGAGTTTGCAAGAGTAACAATGAATGCTATTATTACCAAATACATTTACAAAACAATTGTAATTCAACTGTGATCTATACTAGGTAGCCTTTCTGCTTATTTCTTTTATGGTCTGATGCTCTCTTTGTAATATTCTGTTTATAGATTTTCACTGTCTTCATGACAAATTTATTAAAATAGTAACATAATTAAAACAAGACTATTATTTCTGATATGTCCGGACTAGTTACCACAATACATTTCACACAACAAATCTATAGGCTCTTTCTATATTGCCTTTAAAAATCCACTCAAACATTACTTATTTTCTCTCTATGGAATTAATAAA